GCTTGGTTGGTTGGTTGGGTGGGTGGGTGGGTGGGTGGGTTTGTTGGCTGGCTGGCTGGTTGGCTGGCTGGCTGGCTGGCTGGCGGGCTGGTTGGTTGGTTGGTTGATTGGCATGCGTTTGTGGCTGGCGTTTGTGGTTGCATTTGCTTTTGTGGTTGCATGTGTGCTTGTGTTTGTTGCGTTTGCGTTTGTACTTGTGGGTGTTGCTTGATTGTTTTTGTTGCTTCTTGTGTTTGTGTTTGTTGTGTTTGTGTTTGTCTGTGTGTGTGTGTGCGTGCGCGTGTGCCCTTGTATGTGTGTGTGTGTGTTGTCGACGCTGGCACGTATGGGCGTGCATTATGTGCTTGATGCAATTGAGTCTACAGGGGAGCCATTGGTCACTTGCATGAAATTCAGTACTGCCTTCAGCCTTACCCAACAGGTGCGAGGTGAGCTGGCGCAGTGTTCGCGCTTTCACCAGCGCCTGCACACCGTTGGCCGGGTGTGAGGCAAACGCAGGGGGTGCACATTTCATTGCAGATGTTGTGATGGCACCACGCACAGAGGTAGCTTGCGCTTTGGCACGCTCCTGCGTGCCTGCACTCGGTACCTTCGAGGCCAACGCACCCGAGAGTGTATGACGGCAAGGCGATGCGCCAACGTGCTTGCCGGGGGTACCTGAGCATAACGCTTGCTTGCGTTTTTGGAGGGAAGGCCTTTGTACTTTACTTTCAGCTCGACTCTTGATATCAAGACCAACCTCGAATTACTTTCGAGTCTCATTTGAATGAAGCAGCCTTAAGTGATTTCATTGCTTTCATCCTGGACATGGGTGAGCGGCCAAAGAGCAGCTTCTGCTTTGTGTGCAGCGAGCCAAACAGTTTGTCTTGGCAGGCATTCGAGGCACGCGAGAAGGAAAGCACGAAAGCACGCAACCTTCGAAGCAAGCTGCAAAAGGGCTCCGCCCCCACTCCGTTCTCCGATTTCAGGCGCTCTGATGTTCAGTTGCTGACAAAAGAAGATGGCCATGGCCGGCACCTTTCGAGAGCAAAGTTTAAAAAAATACTGCGCAGCACATCCAAGTGCTGGCCTCTCAAGGGTTCTGCTTTCGGGGCCATACCGGGGAAAATCTGGGGGAAAATTCGCAGAGACTTGGTCGGAGACGTGGAAAACCGTACTGCTTTCTTTGTTTTTTTGGGGGGGGGATCGCCTGACCGAGGAACCAGGGGCTCAGCCGCTGCCAGGCCTATATTGCATGGTTTCATCCTATGAAGTGCGGGCACCTTGGCGGCCTTGGCGGTCACAAAATGAGGCTCCTGCGGTGCCCCGTTTTGGAGTCAAATTCATTCAGACATTGGATGCATCCAAGAGTATTAGAGATTTTTTCGTTCTCTGTCACCCAGTGGTGCCCCATTTTGTCCGGTTTTTGGGTAAGGGTTTCCCTGAAAACTCAACCAGCAAGAAAGTTGCCCCTTTTTTCCCCGTGGCCACTGAGTATTTGAGGTTTGATTGGTTTTCTCTATTGGGTCCCCAGTGTATTGTGTCAAGGCTTTGGTGGCAAACAGGGTGGTCTCAATGCCAGGCTACGTTGTCCTAGGTGACCCCGCACGATTTGTTCATGTTGCATTGAATAATCATTTTGGAATGAATTAATTCCCCACGCCTCCCAAGCAAGCTGCAAGGCTGCTTTGCACAGGATGGCAGTTGTGAATGGTATTCCAGTTCAAAGCAACATGCAACTATAATTCCATTGGCAAAGGCCGCAGCGTTACGACTTGCGGCGCAGCTTGCCGACTGGTTTCCAAAGGCATTTGCTAGAGTTGTGGTATTTGAGGCTCCTCCAAAAATATTTGGGCGTCGCGCTAAAAAGCCTGTTTTCGGTTAGTTTTCAGGAGATGTAATTTTGCACAACCCTCCTATGTTGCATTCGCAAAGGAAGTTTCAGACAAACTTTATGGTCCAAAACAAATTAGCAAGGACTTCCGAATACTGGAACTAATTGAGATGAGAAGGAAGAGATGGCGGGCAAAAGCCAGCAAGGCAATAGCAGAGACATAAAATGACGGTACTCCTGCTGGAATTGCCGAAGAGCACTTTGAGCACAAGCTTCTTGCTAAACAAGAATGGATCTTCAAGCTGGAGATGCCAAAGTGCACTTCGTTTGCCACACTAGTAAGTGAAGTTGCTATGGTCCAGCTGCAGTTGCCGAAGGGTGGTGCGCACGAACTAGGTCTGCATAATATTGTACTTGACAAATCGCCCACCAAGGAACTTCGGCGTCATTCCAAAGACCCTACCTACGTGTCCTTCTTGCTTGATTTGGTTGAAACATAGAGAGCTCTGGTTTACCTGGTGGTTCAATCATCTACCAGGCGCGTCTATTTCCAAGAAGGACACCTACTTAAATGGGGCATTGTGCTTCGTCAGTGGTTATTAAGCCTGGTTGTAACCTACTTCCCATGGTTATGAGTCTCCATTCAGTGGGTTGTTTCACCAGGCCTACTAGCCACTTGCCCACCCTACCAAATCGATCGCCCCTTGAAGTATACGGCCACGTCCGAACTCCTTCTTGCTTGGTTTGGTTGCAAAACAGAAGGGTTTGGTTACCTGGTGGTTCAATCCTCTGAGTCTATTTCCCAAACCACCTATGCTAGGGGACCACCTCCGAACATTGGGTTTTCCGACAGCGGCGGAGATCTTTCCTTCACCTTTCTTGGCATCTTGTTTGGTTTTCTAGTTTTGTCATGGTTCTGTTCATGTTTAGTAGGGGTCTGCGAAAAACAAAGGTATTGTGCAAGCCCATACCAGGGGTTGTGAGGTAATGATTGGGACCTGAGGGCTTCCATGCTGTCAAGTGCCTTTTGCTTCACTTCTAGCTCCCCCAGTAGTGCCCTTTTACCCTTTTGGGGGGAGGGTTCCCCTACTAAAATCGGCTAGAAAAAAAAGTTGGTACCCTTACTCTACCCTCTCTACTGGAGGACCTAAGAATACCAGCTGAAAAAAGGCCAAAGCACCTGAGTCTTTCTTGCTAGCCTACTTTAAAACTCAGCAGAACCAAGAAAAATCCGCAAACATCGGAAAACGTACTTTGCAAGCCCACACCAAGGGTTGCGAGGTTTCCCCCCAAATCCCGAGGTCCACTTTCGGCGCCACGCTGGCGCACTTTGCCAACGGCTCCCTGCCGGAGGCGGCTCACATGCCCAGCTGCCGCTCGGCCAAACGAGTCAGCGAGCGGCGTGGCGGGGATGCCGTGGGGCTGTGGGCTCAACGGAGGGTGGAACTGACCGCCCCCCCAAAAAATGGGACTTTCAGTGTGGCTGTGGCTCAAGAAGCGAAACCAAAATGGCAGTGGCTGTGGCTCAAATTAGAGGCGGCAGTACCGAAAATGGCACCTTAGTGATTGGAACTTCTGAAGCGAACACCTACAGTGTGCCCTGGCTCTTTTGCTTGTTGGCTTCACAAGCTGATTTGTACAGGACTCCATTTGGAGGAGTCCCTACCTTTGACGCACGGCACGCTGGCACGACGTCTGTTTGCAGCCACGAGAGACATCCGACAGAGGCAGCTTCTTTGAAAGGAGAATTTCCAGTTCAGCGGCATGGCATCCTTTCTCCCTGCGTGCAGCTTGGTTGCTTCTGCAAACAGGATAGCTGAAGGGTTTCCGTTTTGTGTGTGACGACAGAGGGGACGGGGAGGGTGAGGTCGGTGATGATCCTGCTAAGTTAAGTTTGATGTAGGAAGCGAGTCCTCGAGCACAGAGTTTTGATCATGCCCAGGTAAGGCTTAGCACAAAGAGTTGTGTTTTCTTGGCAGCTCCCAGCCATCCGCTTCAGTTTTCAGGTGCCTTTAGTTGGTTAAGTGGGGGGTTCCATTTACCCCCCCCCCCCAAAAAAAAAAAAAACAACAACAACATGTTGCCGTTTGGGGATCTGAGAGCAACCCATTTTTTGCGCTGGAACTTTTTAAGTCTTCCCAGAATCCAAAAGTTGATCAATCCACTGGTGTCCATTGAAACTGACACTCTTCTTCTTGGTGGCTCCCAGCCATCCGGTTCCTTAGCCTTTTTAGCTTTTAGTGTTTTTCGTGGTAGTTTCCGTATTTAACCCACTTTTCGCGGGGGATCCGAGGATCCGAAAACGGGCAGCCCAGTCTTGGAGGTTGGAAGCCCTATCTTCTGAAACTTTGGTTTGACAACCTGAGTTTTAAAGCTCTGTCATGTATGCATCCGGAAGGGCATCGGCACATGCCTGAACGGAACCAGTGTTGAATAGGGCTGGAGGCAGAGCGAGTTTTAGCATGGCTTTGGTGCATTTTGCTCGGATTTTAGAACTTTAACTTTTTGCCAACTAACGGGTTTTCCAATTAAGCCACTAAAAGTTAAACTTTTAGCAGGGGAGCAGAAAGCAACCGAGATGAAGGTTCTTTGATTGGGGGTTCCTTATTTCCGGTTTTGGGGTCAGTGTATAGTGTGTGTGTGTGTGTGCGCGGTGATGTACATGAATCGCCTGGATCAACTGCTTTGGTCATGTTTATATACCTACGCCTTCCCATTTTGGAGCAGGATGGAAGGAGTGGAAGAAGTAGGGTTCCACTTTTTCACTACCCCTAAAATGACTTAAGCCCAGGCATGGTCATGTACCGCAAAAAGGGAACCCCTGGGTTTAAGTCTGTTTGCAGGTGGTGCAAAAATGGAACCCTGGGGAGAATTGGATGGTTTGGATCAAGATCAAGCGAGCCAACGTCTTCAGGGCCCAGTGGAAGCCGCTTTTGTGCCATGCCGCTGCATGCCCTCATAAGGCCCGTCCCAGGCCGCTTTCCATGTGGCAGGGCATGTCATGTTGGGCGTTTTTTTTTGGTGTGTGGCGCAAGCGCATTCTTCGGTGTTGCCTGGTGGATGTTTTGGCAGAGGGGGTTTGTTTCCGGAGCTCCGGCGTGGCTTTCTCAACCACCTGAATCCAACTCCGCTACGGCCCCGTTTTGCACTCATGGAAGGTGTTTTTGAGGCCAGTGTCAGGCCGTTGCTGCCCACCCACCCCACCAACAGATAGTTTTTAGGATCCTGGAGGCCTGGAGGTCCAACAGTAGACCCACAAGCGCGATCCCTCGAGTGGCAGAAGTCTAAGGTGGCTATATCCAGGAGTCCGACGAGGCTCGAAAACAAGTCGCGAGAGGGTGTCAGTGGGCTTTAACGGAAGGATACGATGCAGATTACACATGGTCATCATGAAAGCTTCTCTTGTGGACACTTGAGTGTTCTCCCTTCTTGTTTGCAGATCTGTTTTGTTGTGTCCACCCTTGTCCCACTTACAACTGGGATTTCATCAAGGAGAAATCAAGACCTCAATTTGGGGTGCAGCAAGGTCAGTTGCGACACAAGGTTCAGCCCCCGGGGCCCACCTGCCCCTTCTAACAACCCCTATACAAGGAAACAAAGAGCCCAGTTTTTGGGCTGGGGGTCTGATGATTTCCATCCCTGTTGCAACACTTAGTGGCTTCCAGCCATCCCCTTAGCTTTTTAGTTGTTTTAGGGTTTAGTGGTAGTTTCCATTTAACCGACTAAAACTTGAACTTTTAGCAGGGGATCTGAGGGCAGCGCAGATCATACATTGTTTTTGTCGGACCAATGACTTCTGAAGGATCTCGGACGATCCCTGCTGTCACGAGGCCAACTCACCGCGAGAGTCTGGGGGGTCTGGAGTTGCCGTTCCCAGTTGAGCTCAAGCCTATCAAATTGTGAGAGGGCTTGGTGATTTCGTGACATGGCGGAGCTTCAAGATTTGTTTCTTCTGCCCGCATTGTCAGACTTTCCAAGATAGAGGAGCCGTGCTCACACTCAAGGCTTCAATTTTAGCGCCTGTTTGGCCAAACCTTTTGAGCGCTCGAGTCTCAGCGGGCGCCTTGCGCGCTGCTTTCTGGCGTGGCCCTAGTTGCAACTTGCAGCCCGCTGAGTGACCCAAAACCGTCGGTTCATCTTGTGGCAAGGCGGGTGCTCGTGTGCTTATGACAATGTCGATCAATACGGTGCTTCCCCTTCAAGCGAAGGATTCCCTCTGAAATTGGCAGCTCCCAGCCATCCCCTGAGCTTTCTGGCTTTTTAGTGTCTAGTGGTAGTTTCCATTTACTCCACTTAAAAGCTATTCACTTTTAGCGGGGATCTCAGGGCAGCCCAGTTAAATGATTGAATCGGACCTTACGTGAACCAAAGAAATCCATTCGGCCACTGGGTTCCCAGTGGCCCGAACTGGGCCGAGGGCTTTCTTTGTCGAAGTCACTCAAAAGATCAACGCGCCTTTTTCGTCGGGGAGGCGACGTATGGCGCCCCGCTGATGAAAGAGGCCGGGTGGGCTTGGTGGGATCAGTCGGTTTGGACTTCGAAATGAGAGAGCTCTGTCTTTATGGCTATTTGGTAACAGGTCTTTGGACTCCAAAGCTTGGTTTGGGAAACGGAATTTCCGAATGGACCCACAAGCTAAGCTTTTTGCAGATTTGTCAACGGCCACTACATGTTTTTTTCGGTTTTGTCAAAGCAAAGACGCGGCGCCGACATGTGGCTGAAGCGTGGCAGAGGCATTCATAAATGACCCCTTTGTCCAAGATTAGAAGTGTTTCTATCTTCAAGCACGGGTCTTGCACCAGTAAAGGAGGATGTGGACCTAAACGGACCCCCATGCCAAGCAAAGACGTGTTTGTATAACAGAAGAGCGGGTGCTGCTTGTGTTACATTGCGATTGGTTTACGAAGGGTGGGCCTTTGTAGGCAATAGGCAATAGGTGGCAAAGCCGAAGACCTTTGACGTGTCGAGGACAGCTGTCCTGGCGGAAATCAGGGGCCCTTCGAGTGACCTGGCCAGCAACTCGTGAGGCTGGCGGCTTGGGTTTATGGATTCCGTAAAGACGAGTTGCCACATGGGCCACAACCAAAACACGGGTAGATGAAGGTTGGTAAGGGATGATCCCAATCAATGGATGCCTTCGAAACGCCTTTTTAGTTCCTTACATGGTCTTGGGTCCACCATTTTAATACCGGATTTTGAGTGCTCGCACGCACACGTGCCCGCACAAAGCACAACGAGAGGCAACCCAACAGCCGGCTGTGCTCCTGGCCTGGTTGGTTCGGGGCCCAAAGGCTGAATGCCGCAGCTTTGACAACGTGTATCAATTGCTGTTGGCTTGGATCTTTAGGCTTCAACTTGTTTGGGAAATCAAAGAGTTGTTCGAATTGAACCCACAGAAAGTTTAAACTTGCAGAGGTTAACTTTCTGGGAAATCAAGGGTTTTCCGAATTGAACCCACAGAAAGTCATAATCTTTTTGAACAGGGGACAACAGCAACGAAGGTTATTGTTTGCGTGTTTGCCGCTGAGCTTTAACTTGGAAACCGGGTAAGTGGAAAACCAAATTCGGGGTTTACGCTCCAACCGTTCCGGCTTGGCAAACGCTGCTGACCGCCGCCTGGCTCTTCGGCATTTCGCCCAGGTTTTTCGTGTATAAGTATCCGTCGGAGAACTGGTTCAGCAGCTCGGCCCAAGTTCTGAACACTGGATTCAGATCAGTCGGGTAGCATGCCCCAAATTGTCGCCACTAATGTGCGTGTGTGTGTGTGTGTGGTGTGTGTGTGTGTGTCTGTGTGTCTGTGTGTGTGTGTCTGTGTGTGTGTGGGTGTTCGTTTGTGTGTGTGCCTTGGTGTGCGTGATTGTTTGCTTGCTTGCTTGCTTGCTTGCTTGATTGTTTGCATGTTTGCATGGTTGTTTATTTGGTTGTTTGTTTGTTTTTTGTTTGCTTGCTTAGGTGTGGTGTGTGTTGCTTTGTTTTGTTTCGTTTGGTTTGTTGTTTGATTGATTGGTTGCTTGCATTTTTGGTTTGCTTGCTTGCTTGCTTGGTTGTTTTTTTGTTAGTTGGTTGTTCAGTTTGTTAGTTAGTTTGTTAGTTTGTCAGTTTGCTTCTTTGTTTGATTGTTTGTTTGTTTGTTTGTTTGTTTGTTTGTGTGTTTGCTTGTTTGCTTTGGTGTCCTTTGGTTTGGTTTGGTAATCTTGGTTCGTTTGCTTGCGTATTGGTTGTGTTTGCGTGCTTCTTTGTTTGTTTGCTTGTTTGTGTTTGTGTGTATTTGTGTGTGTCTGTTTGTGTGTGTGTGGGTGGGTTCGGGGGATCGCTGTTTGAGGAACCACACGGCAAAACTTTCCCTCATTGTTATCCAGTTTCTTATTTTGTTCGAGTTTGGCCATGTCTGGGAATTTGCCACGCCCATGTCTTTCCTGGTGACTCACGTATCCGCTAGCTTTCTGATGCTTTGGGTGTTCTCAGAAATACATGATGTGCTGAATACAGAGAATGTCTGAATCCGAGGAAAGGCGCAGGCCACATTCTGTGTTTTGTTGCTAAATAAGCCATATATCATGCTCCTGCATTTTACAAACCTCACATACACCATCGAGATTTCAGGGGAGCTCCGTGCTTCCCTTTGGCGACTGCGGTGGCGCGTCTGGCTCGACCGTGAGGCAATACCTTTTGGCTACATCCTGGAAAGAAGGATGTCGACCCTGGCAACCATCGGCCGATCCCGGACGATGCTTGGATGCGATGAGAACCAGGCTAGTCAATCTGTTTCCGTGGCATGATAGACGCAAATTGATGGGTGCAGCAAGCTAGCGCAATCGAATTGATGCCTTTAGTTTTGAAAGCGCGGAGTGTATTATTCCGGGCTCACCCCAAGCCGTCGAAGGACTCAAACGATTAATCGTGGAATGTACGTGCCCAGTGATTGGATTTCTCGGATGAATCCAACACACTTTATGATGTTATAGACCCGAACATTTCCGTGGGCTGCACGCTGAACCCACCCCGCTCGTTGCGCCGTTGGACATCCTCAAGAGGGTTTGCCACATCCAAGCGATTTGTTTGCGCCCTTTTGCCTCTTGTTGCCTCTGGTCTGAGGCCCATTTAGTCTACGTATGCATTGTCACAGGGGCTGAAACAAAAGCCGTTTTTTTTCCATTCATGTATTGCATGACTGCGTGGAATTTGGTGTATGAATGGTTTGCGCTGCAAAAGTACCTTGGCGTGTGTCCGCTAGAGCGTTACTTGCCTGTGCTCAGGGAATGAGGGATGACACTTACAAACCATCCCTTGTGGTTTCCTTTAAGGGAATCTCTGGGTTCATTTTCTCATTCCCTGCTGAGCACCAGCAAGGTTACCATGGCCCCAACTCCCAGCTCGCGGCTTTGCCCAAGCCTTGCATACACTGAATCGCAAGCTCCAAATCGTCGTTCACAGCACATGCGCCGTTTTCCGAAAGGCTGGCGAATCAAAGCACCGGGATATGTCTTAAAGTAGGGGGACCCCCAGACTGGTATTTGTCCTTTGGGCTTGACTTGTATTTTAGCCTATTACAAGTGGGTACTTCCGATATCCCAGGAAAAAATGGGTCGTTGGGCACTCCCTGAATACTGTGGATGGACGCAATCCTGCCCCACGTAAGAAACCCTGGAATGATGATTCCCCTGCAAATATGTAAATACCAACAAACAATGGTTTCCCCTGGTTTCAAAGTGGTGCGGAGTGAATTTTGACCATCTACACAGATCTGGGAACCAAAGGTTTGGCATTTGCGCAGCTGAGGATGAGTTCGAACAGTGGCATCTCGGCAAAGATCATTGGACTCCTTCGAGCCGTCGGAGCCAGCTTAGGAAAGCTTTAGGAGAGCCGCAACCATATAGGGCTTAAGGAAAGCTTAGCTGGGTCCCCCAGCTAGGTGCCCTTGTACCAACTCTTTCGCGGGAGGGTTCCCCTACTAAAATAGACCACAGAAAAAAGGGTACCCGTATTCTAACCTCTCAAATCTGGACAACCTAGTTAGGAAAGCCGGTTCTCACTATGGCAAACTGCAGCTTAACCTACGACCAAGCTACCCCAACCCCCCCCTGCTCGCCCATTGACCAAATCCATAGCTTTCCTCAGATGATTTGCTTCCCGAGGAAAGGACGCTTCGCCGCCGCCCCAGCGCAGTGCCAGGTACGGACCTATTAGCACCCACATGTATGGTATTTGAGGCGTGTTCCATATTTAGCCCTAAAGTAAGTGCATACATATGTTTATATATACATACATTTATGTGTATATATATATATATATACGAGCTACCCCTGAAAGAGTGCGTATAAGGCATATGCACTGGAATTGAATAGTCCAAACACCTCCAAACGAAGGCGAATCTTTAAAGCGAAGGATTCAGAGGGGTTTTGGCAACGACTCATATGGGTCTGACCAGGGGACCGCATATTTCAGTCCATTCCATGTACCAGGGCTCCATGTTGGCTACATATTTTTGACCCACAACCATATGCATATAACCAGGGGACCACATATTTCAGTCCATTCCATGTACCAGGGCTCCATTTTGGCTACATATTGTTGACCCACAACCATATGCATATATACGTACCTACATAATACATATATATATATATAATAGAGTTCAGGTTTTTTGCCCGGTTGTCAACGAATTTATATATCACATTGAGCCTCTGACGAAGACCTGAAATAAGTCGACGTCCAGCGTCAAGCGCTGCGCTAGTCCTTCAGGATAGCAGCTTGCCTCTCAAGCCTGGCTTGTTTGATGCTGATCCCCCACTTCAAGACTGGCTGGCGCAGGTAATTTAGAAAGTGGTAAGTTGCATTGTTTATACTCCGTCATGCATGTACTTGAAGGGGCACGGTACGTCAGCTAAGTGGTTAGTAAGCCTGGTGATAACTCACTTAGCAGATTTATACCCATGGCTTTTGTGGGTTAGAACCGGGCTTCATAATCAGTTACCAGTCTTTCATGCACGTGGGCCATCTGTTGAGCTCATAGCTAAGGTTGCCCCCTTGCCTCGCACGCGAAGTGCGCACACACACATTGCAAGATTGCCAGTCTTCCCCACTACCCATTGATGTTAAGTTCAGTGTCCGAGAAGAAGGATTGCCGGACATATTTTGACTTTATTGATTTGATGGGTCTGGTTGATTTGATGTGATCTGATTAGTTTGACTTGATTGAAGTAACGAACGAACGCATGAATCTATGAACGAATGAAGGAATGAATCAATGAATAGTTGAATTAATGCAAAGGTTGAATGCATGCAAGGTTGAATGGACATGAATTGAGAGACACAGTTCGACCGTATTTTGCTCTGAGCTGTGGGCCAAAGGGACAAACAAACGAGCAAAGGAAGCAATCAAAAGTGTGGGAGCCCAATTGCCAAGTCGCGCGCGGAGCAGAGCAAAACAACAAAGTCACAATCAAAACCCGGGTAATCGCAGGGTAGTAAGGGGCAATCCCAGCCATGACTGGGTACGGCCGCCTTTTTAATTCTTTACACAATTCTGGGTTCACCATTTGAATACCAGGTTTTGATGGCTCGCATGCTCAAGGCAAATCCTTCATGACGTTTGTTGCCCGGTTTTGTCACTTCTACCGGACGGAGTCTGGTTCCGGGCGTGGCTAGTGACGATCAAGCATCAAGCTGAGCAAACGGTGGAAGCTCGGTTGGGGGGGGGTTAACTTGCTCACCCGTGCGTATGTTCCTTATTTCGGGGGGGAATCCTTGCCTTTGCTTGCCTTCATCTGGCTTTCTGTTTTGCAAGAAGACCAACAGAGAACCCACCATTTGGAGGCGGAGGAGCCCCTGGTTTCGACAGGGCGAAAAACCATATCCGATATGGTTTGCAACATGTTGTCCCTGTGGTGTGTCCCAGTGTCCCCTTTTTCCCTTCCACTCCCGGGAGCTTCGAGCTGCTTAAGAATATGTTTTAAATTATTTCCCCCTGTTGGTTTTAGAGGGAATCTATCCCCACTGGCAATATGTTACGTTTTTTATTCCAGGCGGCAAACGCGCATATGAAATTCAAGGTAGCGCTTGGGCATTTGTGTGCTCGACAAAGATAACTCCACCAGACTTTTAGCTGGAGGCGGTCCAAAAATCCAGCTGTGCCATTCCTTGCGTGCCAATTCCTGCTTAAAGGGGCATTGTACACAGTAGGTAGTTAGTAAGCTTGGTGAGACAACCCACAAAAGCCGTGGCTATACGTATCCTATGGGGAACTGGGCAGCCGCCTACTTAGCAAGGGCCATTGTACGTAAGTGGTTAGTAAGCCCGGTTACAACCCACAGAAGCCGCGTTTTTTTTGCGTCTCCGTTCAGTGGGTTGTTTCACGTGGCTCAGGTGGGCCTTTTCCGGAAACCGGAGTCCCGGGTGGCGTCATCCTTCAACCACTTTGTGGAGGGCAAGGGTTCAGTCCGGAAGCAGCATGTCAGCATTTCGACGCTCAGAACTGTTTTCTTTTTGTTCCTGGGCTCAAGGGAAAGCTACTATGAATGGCTGCAGTGGGAGCACTTGTCTCGGTGACCGCTTTAGCAGCGCTGGTATTTTGAGTGGGTTGTGCTATACTCAATCCGCAGGATCCTTCTGCCAGATGGTGGTTGCCCCGGTTCTAGTGGTGTTCCACTATGGATCATGGAGTTAGATTGGGGATCCGAATCCCCAATTTTGAACAACCCGTTTTGAGAAGCCTCAGCACGAAGCCCAAAGGTGCTTGCCTGGGGAGGAATGGGCCTGTTGGGGCAGCCGAAGGGTCCTTAGGATTGCAGGCAGCAGCATCCGGCTTTGTGAAACAGCAGTGTGCGTTGCAGGTAAATCCACAATCTTAGGCGATCTGAACTCAAAGTCTGTGGCAGACAAGTCTTCAGTTATAGCCATATGCTATCCCTTGAACATGAGCGCATTGCATCTCTACAGTTTCTTGATCCACAGCAGCCTCAATGCGGGTGCCCATGTCAAGCCTAAGTTTTCAGTCCGCGCGGACAGACTGGAGACGAAAACCTTAGGTCATTTGTGCAGACTAGGCCAGGACCAAGGCTTCTTCTTCATGGCAGTTTTCTCTCACAGCCCACAGCGAATCGACCTGATCGGACCCTTTCGGTTTCGATCCGACCGTTTCGATCCGACCTGATCTGAGCTTTTCCCAGGTTAACGTGCATTTTTTGGCAAAGGTGCTGGCTCCTTTGGGCAACTGAGTTTTCTGGATTAGCCTGTTGGCGCGGATCTAACTCTTACTCAAGCTCGGAAGCTTCTCCTCTAGGTCCCCCAGCAGTGCCCGTTACTACAGAAAAAAGGGTACCCTTATTCTAACCTCTCTACTGGAGGACATCGTCCTGAACCGGAAGTAGTTGCAACAAGATAATGCGGTCATCCCAACCGCAAGAGACCCAGTTCTTCCGTGGCGACCTTTTTGTTTGTTGGTTTGGCGACGATCTACCCCAACATGTGCTCAGCCGTTTTCGGCTGAGGACACTCTTCTATCCAAACGTTCACAGCGCTGTTGTTGTGCGGCCTTTTATTTGAGACGCAAATCTGGCGGTTCGATCATCATTTGGATGGTGTTGGCGGCGCCCTTCAAAAGCCTACCTAGCTGAAACAATGTCCAGTACAGAAAGCATGAATCTAGCTGAGGCATGCCGCGGCTTGACCTGTAGAGCTTACCAAACTTGGTGGCTCCCAGCCATCCCCTTAGCTTTTTAGCCTTCTAGTGTTTAGTGGGGGTTTCCATTTAACCCACTAAAGGATAAATTTATCGTTGTTCAGCCAAAGTCAATGCAACTTGACTGAGTGGTCAAAGAACCTTGCCAATGGTAGACGTTCCTCTACTTCAATTGGTGCCTATGGCAGAAAAGTGTGCACAAGATGTCCCTGCGCATCCTACACAGGCACATGACCATGAAAGGGACAAAGAGGCAATCACGTTCATGCCGTGTGAGGTTTGGGCTTAGAGTAAAGGTCATCTTGAACCCACAGACAAGCAGTCAGTGGGAATTGATGTTGTGGCCGTGCCCCAGGTATGCCAGATTTGTCCAAGGATTGGTGAAGCTTGGCTCAGTTTGGAGGGCACAGCAGCTTGTCAACTTGCCCATTTTGCCTTGCAGCACCACTTGCAGGCACCTTCAACCGCGGCAAGAAGTTGCGGTTTTTGTTGGATAGTGATGGTACCAGGCCGACTGTTTCAACCACCCGGCAAGTTCCTCCAAGGCAAAGCTCTTGACTGCGAAGGCACACGTGTCACACGAACGTGATCCTTCTCGTGCGTTTGCGTGCGTGAGCTTGTTCGTGTGCGTGCGGGTAAGCATGGGTGGCGGTGTGTGTGTGTGTGTATGTGGGTGTGTGCGTGCGTGTGACAGTGTGCGTGTGTTTGTATTTGTGTGTTGGTTTGTTGGTTATGTTTTTTGTTTGTTGGTTTGTTTGTTTGTTTGTTCGGTCGGTCGGTCGGTTGGCTGGTTGGTCGGTCGGTTGGCTGGTTGGTTGGTTGGTTGGTTTTGTTTGTTTTGTTGGTGTGGTTTTGTTTGTCTTGTTTGTTTTGTTTTGGTTTGGTTTGCATATTGTGTGTGTGTGTCACGGTGTTTGCGTGTCAGGGTGTTTGTGTACGTACGGTCTCGCGCTTGCCGCAATGTTACACTGAGGACAAAGTTGCTGGCGGGTCGGCTCATGTTCACACCCATCAAATGTGAGTTCGAGCAGCTTGGTGAAACAGATTGGCTTGCAGGGAAGCGATGCGTGATCCAGAGCTCCACTCGTGTATTGTTGGCGCGAGGCAAGCAACGTGTTTCATTTCTTGGTAGCTCCCAGCCATCCCCTTAGCTTTTTGGCCTTTTAGTGTTTAGTGGCAGTTTCCATTTAGCCCACTAAAAGTTAAACCTTTACCGGGGATCTAAGGGCAGCCCAGATTTGAGCAGGGATCATGCACTTTGATGGCGTGTTTGGTTTGAATGATGAACCTTGCGCTGCGCATTCTGACACGTGGCATTTGCCGAAATCAGGAACGGGGTCCCGTTTCTGTTTGTTGACCAAGTCAGACAGAAGCAAACATTTGGCATTTGGGCCAGGCACCTGACTTGAACACACAGCCAGCTAGCGATCCTTTGAATTGCCGTTTTTTCCTGGCTCTGAGCGTCCTGTGTGAGGTATGCGGAGAGCTACCAGGACTACGAGACCAA